CGAGGGGCCCCGCTCCGGCGCGGGGGGCCCCGGAGGCCTTTGGGGGAGGGGGAGGAAGCTCCCTTCGAGGCGGACGCTGGCAAGCAAGTAAGGGGTCAGCGGTGCTCTTGAGTGACCAAAACAAAGGGAACGGAGGCAGTAGGCCGTCTAACGGGGTGCGGGGAGGTGCTGCAGCGGGGAGGTTGCGATCAGGCTTGCGGCAGCTGGATTTTTTTATCTCCTCACTTAAGGATGTTGTCCGAGTAGGCTGCAGTCCCTCTAGTGCGAAGAGAGCAGCACAAAAGAGGTGGTGCTGTTCGCTGGTAACTTTGTTTTTGGTTTCTTTTTTTGTTTGCAACGCTTCGCCTCTCAGTCTCTGTCAAGCTAGGCTAGTGAATGTGCTTAGAAGCTTACATTTTTAGTCCGCTAAAATACGGTAACTGTTGCTGGCTGAAATGATGTGCAATAATGCATTTTCTTTGATATTTGAAATCTGTAGGAAAAATGGGTTGATACTCGTCTTAGTCAAAGAGAACAATGTGGTACTGTGTTGGCTGCTCTGGACACTGATATCAGTGTTGAAATACTAGGGGTTGTCATCCATCCATGAAGTATCTGGGTGCTATTTAAAGGTGAGGGCCTGCATAATTAAATGAGAGGGCCTGCTAGGAAAACCGTGTAGCATTATACTTGTTACTTGAATTTCTGATCGTTAGGCCCTGCTCATAACTTTAAAAGGTCAAACATAGTAATGGATAATAGCATGATTTTCTCCTGACTTAGTGTAAGGGAAAATGATCGATGCTTTATACCTAAACTGACAAAATCATGGGATAAGAAGAAAACAGTTTCCCTGTTGTTTTGTCTTTGGTCTGTAATCAGGTTGGTAGAAGTTAACAAGTTAATGTTTGTCCCTTTTTTGAGAGCTCAAACTACAATTAATCTGAAAGCATTTGAGGTTAAAAAGAAGGAAAAAGCTTAGTTCCTATAGTATTAGAATACAGGTTAATAGGTTCATAGCTTTTTAGTGGGAGGAGAATAAGGGAAAACAAAGATTGAAAATATGAAAGAAGATGCTTAATAGAGTAGTGAAAGTGAGAAGGCTCTTTGCAAGGAGCTACAAGCTGGTGAAATGCGGATCTGTACTGAGAGTATAATGTAGTAATGTTTTCCACACTTATTTTGTCAAATACAGATGTGTGGCTTCTCAACAACCTGTCTTTTCTACTCTGGGACTAATTTTAAATCAGATGTAGATGCTTCTTGAAATTTCGCTTAATATGACTAGTCACTAGTTGTTGAGGTATGTATTTTTTAAATAGGTGAAAGAGGTGTGCACTGGTAGTATCAAGGCTGGCCTCAGATACAGTTATGTTTGTCCTTCCCTGCAGTGGGAGATCAGGTAAAGTTTGTGAGAAGAGCAGCTGTAATGTAAGTTGCAGTTAATTTCCTAGTAGAGTGAACTTCTGTATTCCCTGGCCATAGATGTGAATGAATACAGTACCAGAGGCACCTAAAATGGCTTTAAAGCATATTTTGTGCTCTTCATGCTAGTTGTGGAGGAGAAAGCTTGGAGGGAAGAAAGATGTGTGACTACGAGCCCGTACAAATCTTCTCTTAGTTTGTGAATTGACAGTACTCTTTGTGCGACTGACCTCTATGTTTGCTGTAGAGTTGGTTTCACCTTCTTTGCAGGCCTTCATTGCAGGAAATGGAGGGGAAGTGTGTCTAAGTAAAACACACCGGGAGAAGAATTATAAAACCACAGGTATTGCTGGAGGGCGCTTGGGCAGGGTAATACCTGTTACTGAAAGCACTGAAACTAGTTGAATTTATGCTTTGAACAATCTAGATTTCAAGCTATGGTCTCTTCCTGGAAGGTATAATCTCTATGGAGGAGTGAAATCAAAAGGCTTAATTGAGAGAAAGAGAGCTAATGATGAGAGCGTTCCTGATCAGTCTGGACATATTTCATTCACTAAATATCTTGGAGGATAATAATACTTTCTTTGTGTTTGATTTATTTTTAATTTCTTGAAGATGAATGTTGCTGTTCTTGTAGACTAGCTTTAAGGAAGGAAATTTCTTTCTGTGGGGTTTTGATCACCTCTGAAATCCTTTTTCTTCCCCCTCTCCCTGCAGTGCAAGTCAGCCTGTTGTCTGTTATCTTTCACTGTTTGGGTGTGTGCTCATACTATACTCCCTTAAGTATGTTGCTGGGCATCCTGTATTTGGGTAGTGTAGAAACCCAAAAGTCAGTTTGTGTGTTCAAGGAGGTGCTAAGTATGCAATTAAGGGAAGTTCTGATCTGAAATGGTGTGTTGTGACCTGATACCATTCTCTCCCTGATACTACCTTCTGCCTCTTCTCTTTGTGTACAAAACCATGATCAGTCCCAAACAAATGGCACTTACAGTAGAGGGACTGCCTTACCCTTACTTAAATATTTAGTGTATAGGGAAATAGGTTGTTCTCTAATTATCTTTTAAAGTCTAATACTTTCACTTTGCATATCAGATAGAATGAAAACACTTCTAGTTATTTATTATTTCTTGAGGGAGAATGTAAGCAAGTAAAACCAAAATCACAAATGATTATAGTATTATGGATGTGAGAATGCACTTACCGTGGTGGCTACCTCTTTTTAATAGCATGAATCAATCTTATTAAGGACAGTTATACTTCACAGGGTCAAAAGATGATTCAGGTTAAAAGGGATCTCAGGAGTTCTCTAGTCCTGCTCAGTGTAGCATCAGTCATGAGGCCAGACCAGGTGGCTTTATCCAGTCAGCCCTTGAAAGCCTCCAGTGATGGAGGCCACACAGCTACCTTGGGCCCCTGTTCCACTGCTGAGCTGTCCTCAGGGCGGGAGGAACATTTTTCCCTCCCCATACCCATCAGAATATCTCTTATTTCAACATGTGTTACCTCTTGTCCTCCTGTTGTGCGCTGCTGTGAAGAGCCTAATTCCATGTCACTAATTCTCTCATGGGACCTGGAAGGCTGCTGTTAGGCCTCTCTGAAGCCTTTTATTCTCCAGGCTGAACAAGCCTGGTTTTGTCAGCTTCCTCTCATAGGGTAAGTGCTCCAGTCCCTGGCTATCTTGGTGGCCCTCCACCAAGCTCATATAGTTTGATGTCCGTCTTCCCCTGGGAGAACCAAAACAGAGTATTCTAGATGCTGTCTAACGAGTTCTGTGTAGAAGGAAATAATCACTTCCCCTCATCTTCTGGTTCTGTTCCTGTTAATATAGCCCACGATACCACTTGCCTTTGCTCACAGGACACACTGTTGGCTCATGGTCTGCTTTCTGTCTGTCAGACTCCCAGCTAGTCTTAGCCTGGGGTTCTTCCTTCAGATGCAGGACTTTGCTTTTGTCTCTGTTGAATTTCATGAGGCTCCTGTCAGCCACCTCCTTTCAGCCTTACTGAAGCTGAGGTAAGTGACATCCACTCCTCTCCCCTCAGCCACAAATCCTGCCGTTTCTAACAGAGGGGAAGTGATTATTATGTTCCCCTCCGCCCTGAGGACAGCGCAGCAGTGGAACAGGGGCCCAGGGTAGCTGTATGGCCTCCATCACTGGAGGCTTTCAAGGGCTGACTGGATAAAGCCACCTGGTCTGGCCTCATGGCTGATGCTATACTGGGCAGGACTAGAGAACTTGTGAGATCCCTTCTAACCTGAATTAATCTATTATCCTAAGTAACTGTAAAAATTGAAAATAATTTTGATAGTGTATTTCCTATCCCCCAACCATTACTGTTTGCTTTTCTAGACTGAGGGATGCCTAGGTTAGAGTCCCTTTATCCTTCTTCAGCACAGTTGGTGATGTGGCTTAGGCTTTTGATTGTACCTGAATACAAAATAGGATAAAGATAAGGAGCTCAAAGTGTATCTTGTAGATGTTCTATGACATGCATGTTGGAAGCTCAATATTCATTTGGCTACATGAAGTAGTAGCATAAAAGGATAGTCTATAATCTAGATTTGTACTGGATCTTCTGCTTGAAAGAAGTTAATGGCAATTTACTAATATAATAGCCTGTTCATGCATAATTGGGACAGTGACTGTTGCAACAAAGTTGCCATCATGAAAAGCAAAGTGAACTTTTTTTTTGAATCGGACTGATCTTGAGTTTGGGCCTGGGTTGGCATGGAGGAGGTATCCCGTTAAGTCTGTCTGTCTTCTTGGCCCAGCAGAATCTTTTTGTTTGGGGGAGGGAGGTACGGTTGACACAGCGAACAGATAGTGTTTGGCATAAGGTCTTATACATGGCAGAGAAGCTGCAAGGAAGATGGAAAGAAACATGTGGCTGGGATCCAGCATCTCTTCAGCTGCTGACAGAGGTACTGGATCCCAGTCACAGGTTAGCAGCTACATTGTAAGCATGGCTTGGGCTTGGTTATGTGGTGCTGTGTAAACTAGCTAAGATTATGGCTCTCAGAAAAGATTTGTTTCCATTTTTTGCTTCCTTCTGGCTGTGAATGCTTGCTGCTTACCTGGCTTGTCTAGTCACCAGACCTTTCTGTGAGGTGCTTTAATTTGTTTAAAATACTAGAAAATGAATCCATATTAAGGGAAAGAAAACTGAATAGAAAGCTTATGGAGAGGTCAGCTTGTCATTCCAGAGCTGGTGGGAGGGGAGCAAGCTGCCGTATTGGATAAGGCATGTGTGAAACTGCCCTCAGTTTTTTTTGTGTGTTTGAGCCCTTGCTAGACCTCCACTGCCCTGTTCCCTGTGAGATGTTAACTGTCCTGTTCTAAGGAGAGCAGAACAGACTGCTCCTATTTTACAACCCTTCTTCATAGTTCAGCTTTCTTTATAGTTTAGTGAAAGTGTAGTTTGTCTGTAACTTCAAACACAACAATTGTGATTAATCAGCAGTACTGTCACACTTTCAGAACTTAAACTGATTATCTCTAGTTATCATAAACTCTTTCATTAGATCTTCCTCTCCTATGTGATACCATGTTTTTGAGTTTTGAGATGGATCCTAAACCTATGTGGGTTGTCTTAGGATGCGCTCTGTGTGTGTGTGCGATCTCTAGTCTGAATTCCCTTCTGCTAAATCTGCTGGACTCTTTAAACTCATCTTCCCTCTAGTGTGAGTTGTATTTACTGGGAATAAATGAATTATCTGTAGATCCTGCTTTTATGAGTTGTCTCAGTGGATTAAATTTTTCTCTTAATATGCTTTGGGCGCTTGGTTGTTAAAATTTAGTAACTTTAAATTGGCTTCCAAAAACTATCTGTAGTTGTAGGGTAGCTATCGTCTGTTACTGTTGCAGTATTTGGGAATCACGCA